TGAGAAGGTTGAGGCTGCACTAATTAAACTGAATTTTAAGGCCTCACAAAACATTTTAAAATATATTTTCCTCAATCTATAGGGAATCTTACCCTAGGATAACCATAATTTACAAAGTATACAACCTTTTTAAGCAAGGCAAAAACTTCATTGAAGATGATCCCAGAAATCATAAATGTGGAAAAAAGTACTATCATTCAGTACTTGAAAATGCCAATTTGAAGAAGAAACAACTAGCAGAAATGGTAAAGTATCACATATAAATACTGATAAGATTTGTAGTTTAAAATATATTTATAAACTAGCTGACTATAATTTGTCATTTTTTAACAATTTCACTGTCCGGTTTCCAGACACAATAGTAAGACAATAGCAATGACCTATATGTAGTGCATGGGACAACGAAAGAGTTAATGTAACTGAAATTAAAGTTTGACTTTATTTTTAACTAGCTGTTCCCCGCGACTTCGTCCGCGTGTAATTTAGGTTTTTAATTTTTTTTGCGCGGAACCCTAATTATTTTTCTAAAACAAAAGTAGCCTAAGTTACTCCTTATGAAATCAGCTATCTGCCTATGAAAGTCCCGTCAAAATCGGTGCAGCCGTTTCGGAGATTAGCCAGAAGAAACAGACAGACAGACAGACAAAAATTTAAAAATTGTATTTTAGTTATAAGTACCGTAGTTACTTTCATATGCATTTAGTAAAAAACTGTAATTTTGACATTACAAACAGACACTTCAATTTTATTTATTTGTATAGATAACATTACAAAAAATAATAGTCATAAATTCTTTCATTCATTTCCACTTATCTAAAATCCAATGCTGAACTTAGGCATCTCCCATAGTTGTTGCAAGGAAGATGCTCTTATGACACCTAAGGGATAATATGCGATAGTGGAATCTCTTACTGCTACCACCAAATCAGATCATTCATTTCGCTATAAACATGGGTACCACCATAGTCAGGTGGGTCAGGACTGTGCGTTGTGGCATTACTTGGGGGAGACCTATGTTCAGCAGTGGACTTGTGAAGGATTGTAATGATGATAATTATGAAACATGGGTACAGACAGATGGATACAGAGTCAATATTTGTTTACTCCGTGGCGCAGTGGCTTAGCAATGAGTTGCTGCGCTGGGGGCCGCGGGTTCGAATCCCGCACGGAACAAGTATTTGTATGGCCTACAAATAATTGTTCCGGGATGTTTGTCCTTATGCAATTTGTGTTTGTAAACTTCCTCCACGATACAGGAGTAAATCCTAGTGTGGGGGTAACGTTTTTTTAATAAATGAATGAAATGTTTTTTAATAAATAAAAAAAAATATTTTGCCTTTCATGGCATGTAAAAAAATTGTTTAAAATAAATGTGTTCAGAAAAACAAACTAAAATTAGAAATAAAAACATAATATACCACTTTATAATGATTACATTTATGTTTTTAGAAGAACATAACAAATTTAGAGAAATAAATTTTTATTCAATTGAGAAGTATCATGCAAAATCCTGGATCTATAATAGTAACTTAGTTAAGAAAAATCAGTGAAAAGTAAAAAGCAAAATCAAAATTTATCATTAAAGAATTCTTTAATATTATAAAAGGCAGTATTTATTAGCCACTGCTTTAAACTTTTTTTTTTCATTCGCCTTAATGGCTGTTCATGAATATTTTTAGGAACTTTATTATATATCTTGATACACACTATGAGACAATTGCTGTGGAATAATGTAGCTCTACAAGATAGCATCAGCAGACGTGTCGGATCTCTTTTTGCTACAAATTGTAGCAAGAAGAGATTTCCTGCATTGTAATAGATTGATTAGAATTTTTCCTTAAACAGGGGTCTACAGCTCTCAAGAGGGCCTACATAGGCTGCACTAAAAGTATCGGGAATGGAATATTTCCACTGTTCCTTTCATATTAAAATCTTTTTAATTGAAAACTCCTTGGTTTTAAAAACCGAATACCATTTATTTATTTTAAAAAAGATTCTCGGTCTAGTCACAAGGTTTTGTCAAACTTTTTTAGTTGTTGAGAAAATTGAATTGACTCGAGAAAATTCAAGAGCGATGATTTATTATGACTTTCGAAGTGGTTTAACACAAAAACAGTGTGTTGACCGGATGATTTCTGCATTTGGTGATGAAGCCCCATCCAAAACCACAATTTATCGCTGGTTTGCTGAATTTCAAAGTGGACGTGTCAAACTCAGTGATGATGCCCGTCAAGGTCGTCCAAAAACTGCAGTCACCCAAGAAAACGTTGATGCTGTGCGTAAGCTGATTGAGGAAGATCGACATGTGACATACCGCGAAATTCAGGCAACTTTAGACATTAGCATGAGTCAAATACAAATAATCTTGCATTGACAATTAGGTGTAAAAAAGTTATTTTCCCGATGGATACCGCATTCGCTCTGTGAAGAGCAAAAAGCGGCTTGCGTTACTTGGTGCGTCAGAACTCTCGAAAGATTCCACGCAGGATCATCAAATGCTGTATACAACATCGTATCAGGTGACGAATCCTGGATATACGCGTACGAACCCGAAACAAAAAACCAGTCACGAGTTTGGGTGTTCGAAAATGAGTTAAAGCCAACAAAAATTGTTCGTTCACGGAGTGTTGCAAAAAAAATAGTAGCCACGTTTGTCTCCAAAACCGGCCATATTACGAATATTCCTCTTGAGGGACAAAGAAAGCTTAATGCAGAATGGTATACTAGCATTTGTTTGCCACAGGTCGTTTCTGAACTCCGTAAAGAAAACTGCAACCGCCGCATCATTCTCCATCACGACAATGCGAGTTCTCATACCACACACAGAACAAAAGTTTTTAGAGCAAGAAAACATAGAATTATTAGACCATCCGCCGTACAGCCCCGATCTAAGCTCTAATGATTTCTATACTTTCCCTAAAATAAAGAATAAATTGCGTGGACAGAGATTTTCATCACCTGAAGAAGCTGTGGACGTCTACAAAACGGCCATTTTGGAGACCCCAACTTCCGAATGGAATGGTTGCTGCAATGATTGGTTCCATCGTATGGAAAAATGTGTCAAATTTCGCGGAGAATACTTCGAAAAGCAATAAATACATTTTTAAATAGTAATGTTGTGTCACTTCCTTGATTCCCGAAATTTTCAGTGCCGCCCTCGTACATTACACAGTGCATGAATACATTTCTTCTGGCTTAGGAAGGCTCTGTTTGCACCTGTTGAGTTGCCCCACAATAGTAGTCCATATCTTAAGACGAATTCAACCTACCCGTAGTAAGGAACATGCACTGCCTTTCCACATAAGGGCTAAGGTGGAAAATAATTAAATCAACAATAACACCTTCTAATGCTTATATTTATGGTAATTCCAAAAACTTACCTTAGATGTAAGATCACCATTGTTTTTTACATCATTTAAGTAAGCAGCCATTGCTGCAGCTTCCAGTTTCTTCATGTCTTCATCAAGTTTTTCGTTTTGTTTAAATTCTTTTGCACTTTTTTTGGTAAGTTGTGAAATATGCTTTTGAACATTTTCCTTATGTTTTTTACCATTTTCATGGAAAGATATTGACTGAAATTTAAAAGGAAACATATGTATATAGCATATAAAATATAATATACAAAATATAACACAAGACAGAATAGATTATAAGTCACAATACAAGGGAGAATTGTATAATGGAAATGATATTGAGTTAAAATATTTTAATATAATAAATATAAAAGTTAAGGCGTCAGATACACAGTCCACTTGATGTTAAGTGGATGCTGTGTCTTATCCTATATTAAGGATTTGATTTGATACTGATGTGTTGTCACCCCATAAGGACTAAGATGTGATAATTAATTACAAGTAAAAAGGGTATTCGATTCTTATCACTCACCATACAATACCAAACACAGATATGCTATACTACTATTTTACACTGATATATTGTGAGATTCATCCATCCAGACAACCACTTATAATTAAATTCAATATTTTTAAAATCTCAGTAGTACAGTGATCACTTAACTTTCTTAAGAAAGTTTTTACAAACAGTTTTTAAAATTTTAGTGGTACAGTGGAATCCGTTTATAATGACATCGAAGGGAAATAACAAACACGTCATACTAAGCGGACATCATATAAACCATTTTGTAGAAAATAAACAATCTCCAGTTTTTGTTAGTATGTATTTATTTTAATAGAGAAAAATCTTTAATTAAAGTAACTGAAATTCTTAATAATAAATTCTTGTTTATAAAAATCATTGAGATTTTCGAGTGAACAACTCCAAATTCCCTTGCGAGAGATGAGTTGGATTCTCCATTTTCTAAATTGCAAGTGCACTGATGTTTAGATTTCATTTTTTTCACAAATCACTAACAAACAATGCCATGACCTTCAACAATCAATTAACCACTGAGACTCAAAACAAAAATAGGCCATGCATGTGCCGAACGTCGTTGGGTATCAATTGACTCTCCTGAACACTGCCAATGGTGTTCGGAATCATGTCAGTCACTATAACCTGACACAATTTAGTATTAATGGGTCACAATAAGCAACATGTCACTATAAGCGAAGTCATTATATCCGACTTTATTATAAAGAATTTTATATGAAAACCAAACTTCGCTGTGGAATTACGTCATAATAAGCGGTTGGTCAATATAAGCGGAGTCATAATAAACGGATTCTACTGTATTTAAGTTTATTCACACACATCAAAGTAATGTCAGGGATGTGTCACAGCCATGGAAGTTTCTACAGATGACTCTAGATTTTGTACTCCAGCAGTGACACTAATGTGAATGATATATTAAGATTTTATAACATGTACCAACCAAGAGAATAATTGAATTTTTGAGCTTCTTATGGAAAAGTATATCACATATCTGACTTTGTCTAGATGTGTTGTGTGAATAGACATTTATTTAAAAAGTAAGCTTTAGTTGGATTGTTATTAGAAGGCATTGATTAAAAATTATATTACTTTAAAACATCTTTTTTTTTCTCTTCAATATGGCCCTTGGTATTATGGTTAGGTCACAATAAAGCTCTTTTAAATACTTCACATAATATAGAAATTTGACAGAAAATTTTTGCTTAACATGTTTTTAAAATATTAGTAAAAGTACATAACATATATGTAATGTGATCATCATAGCTCAATACAAGCTCGTGCTGAACATATGCCACTCCCAACACTGACTTAATGCATGGCATAAGCCTGCATCCATTGAAACCCTGCACATGTTACTAGGTCATTGCTATCTAGTGAAGGGCCCTTCTACATTAAGGTGATACCTTGAAAATTTGATAGTTTTTCTATTTCACATAATTCTTTAAAATTTATAGATTACAAACCAAATTTTTGGTATATGGTTTTCAACTATATTATATGATCTTGAATTACATAAAAGGAAAACACAATAACATGTAACTTTCTCTATAGAAAAAATTTGAAAATTAAGCTCTAATTAGTTACATTTCTCCATGTCACCACAATGTTTTATGAATTAGTTCATAGAATTATTTTTCAAGCAAATTAAATAATCATATCTAAGTTCAAATGGGTGATTCTTTGAACATGTGCATATTACGCGGCCCTCCCCAAATAACTACTTAGTGAGATATAAAGTTATATTCTTTTTTATTTCACGTAAAACATGGTTCCAGTAGTACATAAAGATGTACATAACATTTTCCTATTGTAATAAACAACTAAGTTATATTCATAAACGTTCCTCAAATCTCATCACTATTCGTGTCCCAATTTCCAAATTTTAGCAGTTCATGCTCGAAAAGTTGTAAATAAACCCCGAAGATCGTATATTTTTGTAGTAATTTAGATAGTACACTACATGCTTTACTAATTAGCAAAACTACACACATTAAAGACCACTTTCAAATAATTTGTAACGACTTTGAAAATTGTCCCAACACTTTATACTCACTACCATTTGTCCACACAGTCGCAGGGTTATTTTATTTCCGCGTATGTATTGGGCATCACATCACTCACCTTCGATTTGCCGACGATATAGTCCTTATGGCAAAATCGCTGGAGGACCTAAGCACTATGCTCAATGACCTCAATAGTGTTTCCCAACGGATAGGTCTTAAGATGAACATGGACAAAACAAAGATCATGTTTAATGTCCATGTCACACCTATGCCGGTAGTTGTTGGGAACACTAAGCTCGAAGTTGTTGACGAGTATGTTTACCTGGGACAAATAGTCCGACTAGGTAAGTCCAACTTCGACCGAGAGGTCAATCGACGGATTCAACTCGGTTGGGCAGCGTTCGGGAAATTACGGCACATCTTCTCGTCAGGTATACCTCAAAACTTGAAAACGAGACTGTACACCCAGTGCGTGTTGCCAGTGATGACATACGGAACTGAGACGTGGTCCTTCACTGCTGGCCGGATGAGGAAGCTCAAGGTCGCTCAGCGAGCTATGGAGAGGGCTATGCTCGGAGTTTCTCTGCGTGATAAACTCAGAAATGAGGATATCCGCAGTAGAACTAGAGTGACCGACATAGCCCAACGGATTAGTAAGCTGAAGTGGCAATGGGCCGGCCATATAGCTCGAAGAACCGACAACCGATGGGGAAGAAAGGTTCTCGAGTGGCAGCCTCGTACCGGCAGGCGAAGTGTAGGGCGTCCCCCCACTAGATGGAGTGACGACTTGGTAAGATATGCAGGAAGTCGATGGATGCAGGTGGCTCAGGACCGTGCTTTGTGGCATTCTTTGGGGGAGGCCTATGTTCAGCAGTGGACTTGTGAAGGGCTGTAATGATGATGATGATGATGATGTATTGGGCTCTGAAAGGGTAACTCAGCGGTCGCGCTCAGTTTTGCCCCACGACTCGTGCGGATCATACGACGAAGAGTCATTTGGCGCCAATTATAGCCTACCTTAATCGCCCAGAAATCGTGTTTGTCAAACAAAAATCTCCTTACCGTTCGAGTTTCCCGTGGTAAGCATATTATTCTTATTTATCATTTTTATGCACAGTTATAGTCGCCACAGGATACTCTTTGCTTTGATTAAGTTCCCGAGTTAATAAGTTCTATAAAGAACGTATAGTGTGAGAAAGTGTACAAATATCTAATTACCGTTTGTACAATTACCATTTTTCCCGTTCGTATTTTGGCGGAACGGTAATGAGAAATCGAAAATGGTAATTAGTACCAGTATAAGCTGGCCTCTTATTATATTGAAACTCCTAACTCCGCTAGGCCAGCCTTTGGTCGCATTGTGTTACAACCAAAGCGTGATCAATTATTGCTCGTTTAATGTGATCTGACACCACTTCCGCAACAAAATAAACCTACAGACTGACTACCAACTACCCCCCTATTACTAACTTTTTTTTTTTAGAGTAAGTTGAAGGAGGAAACTTTGGTTAAATCCAAAATCACACGCCAGAATCGATACGCTAAAATCAAAGCAGCATTTAAGAATAAAAAGAACGACAACGATATAAAAAAACTTTTGTTAATTGAAAAAATGACACAGGTGAAATAGGAGGAGTTGTTAAATGCACTGTCGCTGCAGCGTAAGATAGAAATGTTGCTAAATTAGATGGTTTTTGAAAATCGTAAGACAAAACACACAAAAAATTAAGCTGACAACTGTGAAAGAATACCATACAATAGAAAAAGATGTATTGATATCTTTAGAATAGCTGAAACCATTGAAAGGTACATTGAAAGTTCATCAAATACTGTGGCAGAAAGAAAAGGACCACCTGATATTCAGAGAAAATAGTTACTTATATGCTTAGACGTGGACTGTGAACATACTAAATTTGTCGGTAAATAATGTTATGAAAACACAAAAGAATCTACACTTATCAGAAATAAAGAGAATGAAAATCATAGTATGACTGATGCGACCACAAAAGTAAAACCTAAAACTACACAGAATAAAAGGACTATTAAAATCTTAAGTAATGTTTTACTAAAGTCAAAACACAAAGGAGTTAAAACCTGATGATGAATTACACTTGGACCCTAATATACACATTGAGAATGTGGTAAATATTTCTGGCAGTGGCAGTGCTATGAATTTTTTGGATGTATTTCAAGACTATGTTCAATATACATTACAATTAAATAATTGATGGCCAGCTTAATGTTCTCGGATCATTGCTGTGTGATGATCTAGCAGATCCACAAGAGACTGCATTTGAGACTACCTGCAAAGTTCTTGGTTATGAAAGTGATACGGATTCGAATTCAATTTTAAATATTTTATAGTTATTGTAACTGATCTCATCGCATTTAAGAAATATTTTAGATGAAACCGGTATAGTGCTGAGTTCTATTGACAAAGAGTTTTGAAGTAGTGTTTTAGTTGATTTTATTAAGATTACTAGAAAGATAATTACTGTTTATTTTGTTTTTATTTCCTTAATTTTTAAAATTAAGTCTAGGTTGATGTTTACCTAAGTTTGAAAGAAACATCAAATGTTTTGTATTTTCCTGTTTATCATTGCCATGGTTATCTTGTAGATCTACTTAAGACTTTATGATTAAGTACATGCTCGGTTTCTGGTTATGAAATAGAAACTAATTCGGATTTAAGTATAAATCTGTTTTTAAATTTTTGTATAAGATTTCATCGAATTTAAAAAATATCTTAGATGGAGCTTGTATAACTCTGAATTCTATTTACACTGAGTTCTAAACTAATGTTTTAGTTCGTTTTATTTAATTTACTAGACAAATTAATATTTACCGACTTAATTAAATAATTAAGAAAACCGGTGGATTTTCGACAATTTTTTTTCAAATTAAGTGATGTAATATATAAATGTGTGATTTCAGTACATCATTCATTTTATTTATAATTACCAATCACGTAGCATAATTACCATTTTAAAATACTAATTACCGTTTGTTTCATATCTCATCACCGTTTGGTGAAAATTTACAGCTTCAGATTCAGGCCTATATAGCAGTTCAAATACTGTGCGTTTGATTTATTTCGTTAATCTGCACTATAAACTTTAGGTGAAATCCATAAAAAAGATAATTGGAAGCATTATTTGAACTTAACTAACGAACCCTGAATATGTCTATCTTCAAATATTCACCCAAATAAATAATTTCTTAATACATAACATAGTTTTGTTAAAAAAAAAATGTTTTTAGCACATAGTTTATTTCCAAGCTTGTGTTCCTTACAGTTATCTTATAATTTGTGTACGCAAAGTAATTCAATCACTTTCATTTTTAACACTCTCCCTCAGTCTTTTGTGAGCTTCATCAACAACGGGCTAATCCACATGTTAAGCATGCCAGTAAGAAACTGCCACTAAAATAATATCTCCTATATCTATGACACTATTCTTTAAAATGATCTTATGTCAACACTTACACAAAATTATGTATGCTATCCAACTTTCACAGTAATATTGCATAAATTTTTCCATGTTTTATCCATTTATAGGTTATAATAGTTTTATTTTAGTTAGGAAGTGGTATTGTTATAATCGGGCACCTCTACTAAATACACCACTTTACTCCCATGAACTCCTGCCAAACAATTGTAAATCCAACCCAATTACTTACCTGATCCAAAGTTTATATGTACCCTTACATATAAAAGTCCCAATAAATAAATTATATTTTACAAATACTCAGTTAAAATAAATACTTGCCACTTTATTGTCTGTTAACCAACACTTGCAAAATTCACAATATTTGCGCGGTTGTGACTTCCAATACTCAGTCCTGTTAACAAGTTAATAATTAATACACTTTTTCTACGAATAAATACAAAAAATAAGGAATAAACATAAAACAGTGCTTACATTTTTGCATAAATATATTTTTTCGGTTATCTCTTTAATACGTTTAAGATAATTAACACGGATTATTTATAAACTTAGAATATATTACATCATATTGTTGTGATTTACAATTTACATTCCTTTTCTTTGATTATATAAAATAAAATATATTGAAACCGATTGAAACACGAACACTCGGCAATCGCTGCTCGCTGTCAAGCACTGTCAAGTGTCATTGTTTTTATTAATATTTTTGGTTTGGATGCTTGTACTTTAAGCCATGTCTTCATTAATTTATCTCAACATCAACTGATAATATTCCTTTAAAGTAGTCTACTTCACAATATGTTGATGCGTCACATTATGCAGCTCTTGGGATATTTTGACGGCAATGCTTTATTGGAACTATGCCTACCCAACCATTTTTGATAGAAACAGATTACCTAAATTTCAATTGTCTAGTATTTTTATTATATCACTACAAAAACAAAATTGAATAATTGAGGATCTATTATATGCTGGTTTCTATCAAAATAAAGATTTTGTCCTAATGCGTGGGCAAACTAACAGACATGAATTTCAAAAATACATGTAATGCACTTTATTACTTATCATTTGTCCCGTTAATAGTTGTTTACAATTACTACTTTTTAAGTATAATTACCAAAACTTACTTTATTGATTTTAATAGGTATATTTACGAGTTGTTTTTTATTAATTATGTGGTACCCGAGTAATTCCAGTTTATAATTACGTTACACGATATTTAGAATTTCTATTTTGAATCGGAATTGGTTTATAACAAATAGTTTATAATTTATAAAATATTGAATTTGTAGCATTTGTTACAAAATGCATTCCAATTTAGCAACATTGATTTTTTTACATCTTTCATACTTTCCTAACATAGTTTTAAAAGTCGGTAACACTGTCGCTTTTTACCACGGAGATAAAGTATTCTGTGCTTTTTACTTTGTGTGCTTTGTGCTTTGTGATGTCGTCGTTAAGTATCGAGTGTCGTCGTCTTTCCTAAAGTTTTATCAAGGTGATATTTGTTTATTTATTAGCTATCAATTGAAATTTTAAGTATTTATTATTAGTATTCAGTCATTTAAAATGATGTTGTTTAAGTATGTGATTGTTTTATTTTCTAAAATATCTCACATATTACTGTATTCGGCGGCCATATTAATTTTCGAACTATATTTTAATGTTACATTTATCTGGCTAAATCGTATCAATCTTTTATTTTGTTTCGTTAAATAATCTAATATTTAATATTTATTGATTAGTGTCGTATTTGCGTCCTTTTAGTTTTCACTTTTAATATTCTAGTTTTGTCCTTGTATTTGTATATATATCAGACTTGTAGATATTTTGCTTGTTGACGCGTCTCCTATATAATCACTATTGCTTCCTTAGATGCTTAATTCTAAAATAACTTTCTCTTTACAGGTATCCCTCAACTAAGTTGGTGAACGTGATAGACTTTTTAAATAGCATATGTATCTAAAAGTGTCTTGTCATAAAATTTGTTTAGTGTTGGACTTTGATAAATATTTGTGATAAGTTTCTAATTTTAGTGATCCCTAGTGGGAGTTATTTGTCAAAATGATGACAGAAAATAGAATTAGTTCAAGTAATCACGTTGGAAACAGCATGAGCAACCAGACCAAGGGGTTTGTAGATTATTGTGTAATTTTTATCATAATTTAATCGTCATTTTAATGCTAAATACTTTTGCAGAGATGTAGATAAAACTGTTGAAGACATAGGATGGAAATCAAAATTAAAAATACCCCCCAAAGACAGAAGAATAAAGACTAGTGTAAGTTTTGTATATACCCTCATTTATTTTTTGGTGAATGTTTTTTATTTGCCAATATCTTACAACTTACTTCTCACATGATAGGATGTGACAGATACAAGAGGCAATGAATTTGAAGAGTTTTGCTTAAAAAGAGAGCTTTTGATGGGAATATTTGAAAAAGGATGGGAAAAGCCATCTCCTATTCAAGAGGCTTCAATCCCAATTGCACTCAGTGGTAAAGATGTGCTAGCGAGAGCGAAAAACGGAACTGGCAAAACAGGAGCTTATTGTATTCCAGTGTTAGAACAGGTAACTATTTTTTTTTTAATTTAAATTTTAAGACCTATTCATTAAAGATAATGTCTTACCAAGTATGTTTGTGAAACAACTAAAAATTACTATTTTATAGCAAAATATCCTATTAATTCATTACAGCCTACAAGTCGCGGCACGTAAGTCTAGCGCTGAACGCAACGTGAAGGGGATAGCTGTGCATGGTACTGTCGCGCATTATCACATATCAGTATGGGGGCTGAAATGTGACTGGAGAGCCAATCAGCGTGTACAAATGATACTACGCACTCTCGTCCCGTGACCTGCTTACTACCCCATGATACCTTATTTTCGACTTATGTGCAATAACTGTCACCACTAGACTTACATGCCGCAACTTATATCAAACACCACTGCTGAATATATGCATACCCATAGATTGTCTTATATGGGGTATCCCCCTTTTGCCATGGCTGCCATGCTCAGCAAGCGTGTTGGTAATCAAAGTTTTTTTATTTTCTAGTTGTTATAAGAATGATACTGCTGCTCATCTCCTGGTTTGTTACCCTCTCATACAACAGCCATTGGATGATATGGAGTAGTGGATATTGTTGGATAAATATTATTTTACATTTGTTATTGTTACTAATGTTATATTTTTGTTTTCCTATTTAATACTTAAGGAGTCATGTCCTGATTTGTACACAGTACACAAGTACTCGCTATCGGGTCCACTGGATCCTGTATAATATCATAAGCTTATTTCAAAACTGCTTTATAAACATAAATGGTTACTTTCTAATAATGGTTTGATATGTGTAAAGAAAAGTATTATTTAATAAAATACTAATATTTATTGTTTATACTTATACAAAGGTAGTTACAAAAATATACAAACTTTGTCCATAGTTTGGTGACAAGTTTTAGGCTTTTCTTTATAATTTCTATAAAGAAAATAATTACTTATTATATACAAACAAATAAAAACTATATACAAATAAAAACTTTTGTATTTTCTTACATAATAATGTAAAACATAACAAAAATACAATCTTTGAAGTAAAATCACACTGGAACATTCTACTGACACTTTTTAAACTAACTGACTACCAACATCGTAATTTGCTGTGCTACACTATTGTTGAAAGGTACTTAAAGTGGCAATGTTGCAAATGTCGAATTTTAATAGTTATTAAGCAATATATTAATGGCTGGGTCTGTTGGACCCATTATTGACTCCTTAAGTGTTAACTTTGTTTAGTACTTTCATTATCAATGATGATAGCATTTGGATTCCCCTTCACTTTTTATAAGTGATAAAACCACGCTCTGAGTAACACAATGTGTTTGTTTATTCAATTTATTTCAATATTGATAAAAATGACATGTAATGATGTATATACTGTACTTCATTTAGGTGGATCCAAAAAAAGATGCTATACAAGCTTTAATTGTAGTACCAACTAGAGAGCTAGCACTACAGACATCACAAATTTGCATTGAACTGGCGAAGCACACAGATATTCGTGTAATGGTTACCACAGGAGGCACAAACCTCAGAGATGACATAATGCGTATTTACCAAAATGGTGAGTTGTTGTCAGTTATAGTATGTTTGTATCAAAGGTATAAACAAACCTTTGATATGATGAATATACAAAAACATAATGTCCATTTTAGACTGTAATCTTGTAAATAATGTGGCTACAATTTTTATTCAAAACATATTTTAAGAATTTTTGTTTACGTTAAGTATATTGAGGGCATTAAGTAGTAAATTGGTTACATTCAATATATTTTAAGGCAAATACTTTGAAATATATCCCGTCCCATGATAAACTCAAATTTTTTTTACCAAGTAAGGCAAGTTTTGGTTTATGTTGAGTTGAACAATCAAATACTTGAATTAATAGATTATACACTATTCCTTGATATCATTAGAGACTTGTCTACAATGGAGACCTTATATTGAAGTCTTGTCAAGGAGATGTTTTCTGAAGTTATGTAGTTAAAAAAATAAGGATGTTAACTGATATACATATGGCAGTGTGATGCCTTTGTTTGATTTATTATATTTGGGGTTGGCAGTTTATATAGGGAATATATTTATACTCTAGAAATAAACCATTCATCATATATACAATATCAGATCAAGAACCCCGGAGATCTTAATAATTACCAAGTTTTAAGAGGAGAGGAACTTTCATATTAAAAATATATGGAAGGATAATAAGCTTTCCTCTTACACACATCAAGACAAGATTATTGATTCTAATGATGTATTTAATATATTTTACGAAAGTGTTGTAGGGATTTGGTTAGTAAGCAGATATACTTACTTTACATTATTTATTATTTGTAATAAGTTAAGATTCTTAATATTAATTCTTGGTAATGGCTTAAACAACTAGAAACATAAAATATTTTGAATCATATTGTTTATTATCAAAGAATCGTCATCACGTGTAATAAAAACAATGTAATAAAACTAGTTTGAACCTCCTACAGTGTAGGTAATTAAGAATTTATGATTGAATTCTAATGATAATGAAATTAAAATTTGTTAAGACTCCAGAAGTAAACTGTCATAAAATATGTGGCAATCTCTTGACAATACTTCTTTCAATTGTTGAAAATGTTTGAGCTTAGTGTAAGCTGTAGGAATTGATGCATCACGACTGATAAAACTTAAAGAATTAAGTCTTATCGGTCCTAGAGGTAGGCTACTATTCTGGTTTATATTGGATGGCTTGCAGATCAACAACATTAAGTTCTCAAAAACAGGATCTCCAACTTTTCAACCCAGTCTTATCCTACTTTACCACCATGTCGATTTATTATTACAATTCTTAATAAAATCGTAACTGATCAGAATAGCTTCATTAGGAGCAGGTAATTTGTGCCTCCTTTGTCACAGTAATATAGTCAATGGAAAGTTGTATCTATAATTGAGCATGACTAGGCACTAAGTACTTCTGTGTGATAGTTACTCTGTGTGTATTCTGGCATAATATTATTCCTATTTTGATAGGTCCACATCCATGTGAGTAAATAACAAGAGTAATTGTTTGGGCATACATTATCTCTTGAGGTAACACATACAGAAGTTGTGATAGTACTAGCAGTTAGATCTGTGCATGTTTCATCAAAGCAATAACTGGTGGCTTGGTGATTAACCAGGTCATAAATTTTAAAATAACGACTGGTAAGTTTTGTCTTAAAAGGCACTAGCAGTTAGATAAGGATAAATTTTTATAAACTCTAAATCCATGGGCAGCAAAAAGAACTCACCAGATGTAGCTTCCCTTATATCGGTTTCCTTTTGTCTCGCTCTATTTTCGCATCTAATGTGTAGTTCATAATCATTCGTATTAATGTCCCTGCTGCGTGGACACAGCAGATATCATACATATCCATTTAATACTTTTTTCAGTGTATGAAGATTATAGTGAATAAGTTTCTCAAATGTGAAAGCACAGGCTCTTCGTTCTGAGTGCAGCATTCTTTGTTTTGTCTATATGTATAAATCACTCAGAGAACAGTTTATAGGTTCTAAATACAACTTAGTTGTCTTTTCTCTCATAGTGAGATTGTAAGTAGCTTGGGAATGTTTTCCAAAAACAATAAAGATAGATAAACACAAATATGTTTTAACCTTTTAATATAATGTGAAGCTTGTTAATGGGCACATAAACCTGGTTTTGTTTTTCCAACTACTTCAACTGAATTGATATATTGAACTGTGAGAGTTAGAGAATATTCACGTGCACACAAACTCGTGTACTATATATAACCCTATCTATGGCCGTCATAGTAGAAGTTCGTCTAGACGACCTTCATAAAATAAGGAGAACTTTGCCATGAAAAACCTTTTGTTATAAATAATCTTGCCGCATCTAACACCATATATTTTGCAAGTTTTATAATCTATATTTGATTACCAATAACTCAAAACCTATATAAAACAAGCCTAATAATATGTATGTAAGTTTTAACAACTCTATTAAAGAATTACAGCTTTTACAGCAAAATGAAAAGAAAGTTAAATTGCAACAAATATAGATGTAATCATTCTTATACCTATTTCATTTGAATTTGTCATGAATATGTCTATATTACGAAAGAAAGAGTAAAGATAACCTAGTAAATTATATGATTGTGTTAAAGATATGAATGCTTGGACATTAGATGTGCAATAAATGCAACTAAACTAAAATTCCATTATTTTAAATACCTATATATATGTATATGTTTTTACTCTGGTAGTTAATGAAAATATTTTTAAATAAACTATACTTTATGTGATAGTTGGTTTTATGCATTTTTTCTTTATTCAATAATATTTTGATAACAACAGATGAAAAAATATCTATCAATATACCAAACAAAACATAAATATGGAAGAGGTTTTAATGGGTTATTTTTATGGCAAAAAGTAAAAAAGATGATTTTTTTTGTGTTATTCTATCCAAATTGATTTTCTTTTCAACTTTGTTTTACTTTGTGACTTAAATCCATCCTTTGATGATTTGTCAGATTGTTTAAAGTTCTTTTTATTTAGTTTTGGTTTTATATGTATTTGATTTTAAGTCCACAGTTAGACATGGCCTAAAGAACACTTGACAATTGTTTTTTTTACTTAAGAAAACGGGATATAAATGTTTTTTTTAATATATATTTAATTATTTCGTTTTTGTTTTAGTTCAAGTGATTATTGCTACGCCAGGTCGAATGATTGATCTCATGGATAAACAAGTAGCTAAGATGGACCAGTGTAGAATGTTGGTTCTTGATGAGGCTGACAAATTACTTTCACAAGACTTTAAAGGAATGTTAGATATGGTTATTTCACGGTAAGCTCTTCAATATTTTCAAATTTGCTGTAACTATTAGAAATATTAAATGTTAACGAAAAATGTTTAGATGATAAGGTGTTTTGTCTATTTGGAATAATAACAGTAAATTAATTTATAAATTTGTACAATTTTTTCTAGATTACCAAAAGAACGCCAAATCTTGCTATTTTCTGCCACCTTCCCATTGAGTGTGAAGCAGTTTATGGAAAAGCATTTAAGGGAACCATATGAAATAAACCTCATGGAGGAACTTACACTTAAAGGTGTCACACAGTATTATGCATTTGTACAAGAAAGACAAAAAGTACATTGCTTAAATACACTGTTTTCAAAGGTAAGTAAAATAAATATTTTTGTGATTTATAGTGGTCTTATTTTCAAAAATTTGACACTTAAAAGCACACTTCAACAAACTTCAAAGGAATAAAATAATTTCATATTATGGAGCTGCTAAAACATAGTGTATAGAAGAATTAAGGCCCTAACTTCAGAATGCGAAATTATTATATTTTTTATGGTTCTAAAGTTAATTGTTTACCCTTTTGAGTGGACTAAGAAATTTCTTACATTAATATGTGATTATAGTCACACGAGGCAAGTGTGACATAAATTAATTAAAACTATAATGGACATTTAAAATACTTCTACTCTGTAAGGATTTAACATAGATCAAGGATTTTAGTATCTACAAGTAGCATTTTGTAATTTAAGGTAATTAAAACTAATTGACGTGGGAGGCTGTCACACTTACCCCATCAATGAGGCGTGTGATAGTACGCTTCTTTTTGTAGTTACTTTATTATTATCTGTGGTTTTCCACAAAATTGAAGAGATGATACTAATGTTAAAATATTTTAAGATCTATAAACAATTTGAACATCTCTTTTTGTGTAACAATGAGTTTTCCTCACATGGGGCAAGTTTTCTGAGTAGTTTTTAAAAAATGATGTCTGTCGATAAAATAGTTAAGCTTATGTACTAACTGTTGGTATAGTCAATAGCGTATATAATGCAAATTATGTGGCATAAAATAGTAATAGTTTATGCCACATAATTTGCATTTGTGTTACACTTGCCCCACTGTCACACTTGTCTCAGGTGACTATACCTACTTCTACATTCTAATGCCATTCTCTAATCTATCTCTATAACCAGATAACTACTTATAATATAAAATGAAATAACATACAAATCTAAGTCATTGACAGTTATTTTGCTTGTTTTTAAATTTATTTTTACTTTGAATTGCGGCAGCAAGTGCGGCAGTATTGCTTGCTCTACCTAGGAATAATAAAATATATGTTGGCTCATAAAGTTGAAGAAATTCAATTAAAATTTGTCGAAATAAATAATATCATTACTCATTCTTGTACACTTATGTTAATAGTACTATATTTAAACCATAAAAATAGTACCTAAAATGATATTTCTTTTGTTACAGTTACAAATAAACCAATCTATTATATTCTGCAATTCCACTCAGCGAGTAGAGCTGCTGGCAAAAAAAATAACAGAGTTAGGTTACTGCTGTTATTACATTCACGCGCGTATGGCGCAGGCACACCGTAATCGCGTGTTTCACGACTTCCGCGCCGGACTTTGCCGCAACTTGGTGTGCTCTGACCTCTTCACCAGAGGTATTGATGTGCAAGCGGTCAATGTCGTCATCAATTTCGACTTCCCGCGTATGGCTGAGACATATCTACATCGTATTGGTCGTTCCGGGCGGTTCGGCCATTTGGGTATTGCGATCAATCTAATAACGTATGAAGATCGCTTTGCTCTTCACCGCATTGAACAGGAGCTGGGCACTGAGATAAAACCGATACCAAAGGTAATAGACCCGGCGCTATATGTGTCGCGCCCGGACGAAGACGACTCGGCTGAAAAGTAACGCCATGCTGTCGCGCGTCAACATTCGCACTCAACAAATATCTGGACTTACTGACTGGTGAAAAGAATTAGTAAAAAAACAAAAACAAGAAACTTATTTGTAAAAAGTGTAATGAATTTATTGTAACAAAATGAGCGTGTAAAATGTAAATAGTTTATCGTGAAATAAGACTTGATACCCCCTGGTGGGTTACTTTTTTAAAAGTGTATATAATTAAACATCGGGACTACGGAAGACATCTCGCGTCCTTTGTCCATATTGGATATTGTGCGTGGATTCCTACATTGTTAAAACGTAAAATATTTATCTGAACCCTAGCTGCATGTGTGAGTCTATCTAGATTTGTCTATAATCTTAACATAAATTGTGATAGACTTTCCAACATATGTATGTTAATTTAACCTACCCATATTTATAAGATTTGAGCTAGCACTGGTTTCGTTTCACATAAAATTTTCCAACCAACTGATTGTTCTCTGTAATATGGGTAGGCATTGAGACTAGCTCAAACAACATTCATAAAGCAAAAATAATTCTGTGTCAAAAATGCTATCTCTAACCGCTTGAGGTAGTGTTTATTTATATCAAGCCGTATTTTAATGAAGAGCAGGTTAAGATAATAGTTTAGACAAAAATAATCAAATTAAATATTGATTGAAAAGGTGTAAAAACTTGATTTATTTATTATATTTAGTCATTGGTATTGTATGATATTTATTGTCTTGACCTGTTTTAAAGATTGTATTTTTTGTTTTTTCTAAGCGGTTGATGTCACAGTGTTGGTACATTTGAAGTGTGTATCATTTAAGACAGGGCTATGGTGGGCAATATATGAGGAACAAAAAATATTTTAATATTAATTACTGGTAAACAACGCAAATTATCAAAAACAATGCAAGTGATGATTACCCTATGATTTTGCCCACTCAGCTTTGATATTTTATTTAAAATTTTACCTGTGACTATTTAACAAGGCAGAGGAATGAACTGATTCTGTTGCGGCTTGCAGATGCAGAGCATTACTTTGTCTCAGGGGAGTTCATATAGAGAGTGTTTATTTTCCATTATAATGCAACTAAATCACTTTTACTCTCTGGGGGTTACAACAATAGGGATGTCATGTGAAGAGTTACAGAGTTTGGTCTTTTTTTTTGTCAACAGGCTTCAAAATTTTTATTACCTGTTCAGTTTTTAATTTGCTAGGGAGTACTCTCTCATCACAAATTAATTCAAGGTTCTAAACTATATGCAAAGATTGTTGTTTTTAATGAGGATAAAAGAATCATCTCTTTTCACTTTATTCTTTCTGTATTTTTGTTGAATTAACTTGTATAGGTTTCCCTGAATAATTGCACTCGAATGCACATGAATTTAGTCTTTAATTAATGACAGCTGAGCATAAGAATGAAACAATGCTGTACTCGCTGTTGTAGGCATTGTAGTAGTAAAATACAGCTTGGGCTTTAATGATTTATGATTGAAACTACCATTGTGTGTATGCCCACCAAAAAAAGATCTTGACCATAATATTCTTTCGTGACTGTCAGAGGTTCAAATGCTTGTCGGAATAATCTAATTTTCGCCAGAGCTTATTATAGTCTTGATGGGCAAATTAACAATACAGATTGTTAAGTCTCGAAAACCTCCTGGAATAGACTGGCCACACAAGGATGTGAATTTCAAAAAATGCTTGGATACAATTATTTTTTTATGGTAAACAGTATTACGTCTTACTCAATTGTCAGTTGTCATAAAGGCGAGCATTCGGTACTGCCAGATTAGTAGAGCTAAACAATGTTTTAATATATTATTTTGTTATGTAGGAGCATTTTTGATGCAATAATTTTACAAATATTTGCAATCTGTGATAAAACTTGATCTAATGCCTGCTTAGTTTAATGTGATGAGATGTATTATGCACTACTCTATATACATTATTTTTGTCTTCCGAAAATATGCAAGAAATGCCGTAATAAAAAAGTCATTTGCTATAGAAAACTAGACACTTATAATTTAATATCAATTTTATCTTTAAGCTGGTTTCATTTGTATTCCAGTAGCACAGTGTCATAGAAAAAAAAATTGTTCAACGGGGTTTCGAAAAAAAGATACATACTGAGTAGTTAACTATATTAACACTTTCACTGTCCAGGCAGTTATTACACAACGGGGTTTCGAAAAAAAGATACATACTGAGTAGTTAACTATATTAATACTTATTTTGTTTCTAGTCTTCTGTTCAAGACACGAGAATTTAAATTGCTATCATATCATACAAGATTTTTGTAAAATGTTATTAGATTCTATAAATCATGCTCTTGAATTGTATACAAGAGAAATATTTTCAATAAATCTGAAAGACTAAATATATATTCAGCATAATATTATCATCAGTGGTCTTATGTTAAACTCGTAAGTTTATTGCACCGTCTTTTAAATTGTTCAACATTCTATGATGATCAGATATAAAGAAAAGCTAAGAATTACTACGACGACGGTACTGGATAAATTTAAAGGTGAAAATATTCACATATTCTCTTATTTAAAACTGTATATTGTTTTCCAATTTTCAAAAATATATTGTTGTTAAAAATGGGCCAAAAATAAACTCTTCACGCAAATTTATGCTAGTTTTATTATAAAAATACCGGTTGACCAAAAGTGGATCAAACGCAACTAGGGGTTAGATGGGGGTCTCAGGTCATCAGCTGCAAAAAATTGTTCTACGTGAGTTCCTTAAGGAACCCCTGCAGAGTTATAATTTATTTTGTGTTTATGAGAAAATTGACTTTTACTAATTCTTATTAAAATTCGAAAAAATTACAGTATCTTTTTTATAATTTTAACTAGATTGGTACTGATGAGTCCTTGCGTTAGACACATTGATGTATTAAAAACATCGATCACTAATAAAAAACCAGATGCACAATCCCTTACAAAAGTTCTCTAAAAACTGTCGCCAAATATTTTGTCGTAATTCTAGTTGATAAAAAAATACATTAATGTAAATTCAACCTTATGTGAAATGCCTAAAGTTGTATTGACAAAGCAACGTACAAAAAGCAATAAAATTTTACGACCGAGGCTCGTCGCTTGGACTGGCTTGGACAGGGAGAGTGGAGTCGAACTGCACAATATTTTTTGTTACCGTAATTTTAATTTTACAATTTTTTTAAAGTTGTTTTAAGTAATTGGTCTACTTAACAAAGCATATTCTATTCTATTCTATGGTTATATTATTACCTGAATGCAAATATGCTTTTGCATAGGGCACCACATTCATTTAGTAATGAAAGTAATTGAAACAGTCATAATTATTTATTTATTCTATATCTTGTGTGATAAATTTAAAGATATTGCTTGACAAACAAGTTAAATCTAAATATAAAAAATAAGTACAGAAAGTTCTAGCAAAATCTAAGAATATTATTGTACAAATTTTGACGTAACGTTCATATTTACAGATGTTTAAAAAAAACGGATAAGACTGAATAATTATAATGATTTCTAATATTTACGCGTTCACTCTACATTTAAAGGAAACTAGTTATACGAATTTTATCGCGTATATTAACTTATTTTATATTTCCGACGTTTTGAGTAGGTAAGGTAATGTCACCAGGAGTAATGGACTATACCCCAGTAATGGACACGCTTAGAAAAATGAAAAAAATAAGAATAATTTAACATATTTTCATAATGGTAACATTGAACTATAAACTATAATTGTAATTATGTCAAGCTGTCAACTGTCGCGATTTCGATTTATTCTGACATTTCGTTGCAAAATTGTCACAGATTAAATAGCACTGTGCACAGTGATTTCCCAATTTGATTATTTCTAACTTTCTTTTACAAAAATACACTTTCAATGTAACATATTTTTGGAAAGCACTGAACTGAAAAGTCGTTACACGGTAAATCATTATACAAATCATTCACAAATTTGCGCGTATACCGCTAAAATTGAGATGGATTTGAGGAAATACGAAAACAACCCCTTTGCCATATCTCCTCAATTTCAACTACAAGGCGCAGGTTCGGCATCACATGGGATTCTGTTCTCATCTCTGGGCGGGGCTCCCCAGTACGAGCTCTTTCCACTTTACCGCATAGAGCGCAGAGCGGCTCGAACCGTTGATGACCGAGTTCTCTTTGATTGACTCGATTCACTGACGCTGCGTGGAGATGTTGCATCCCTTTTTTTCTATCGTATTTATCGTATTTACCATGGAGAGTGCTCTGAGTAATTGTTCGGATTAATTCCTGCCACTAAATTTCACCATCACACATCGCGATAAAACTTACGTTACGTTGCTTGGCGAACCACTACCGTGCGATTTATTAGGAGTTTTCTTCTTCGCACGAATACTTTTTGAATCGTTTACCATCGGCGATTTTTGCGGACCGATATGACTTATGACCTTCAAGAAACAAGCTTACTACTTCTTAAAAGGCTGGCGACGTATCTGCAATTATCGTGACGTTGTCGAATTGTATTAAAATATTTAAAAAGAAGGCTATCTTATTGACTGGTTGTACTAGTTGTACTGGCTGATATTTACGTTTCACATGAACACCAACGGACGTGTACCCCGACAGGCCCACCCAATTTATTTATTGGTACGGGTACAGTATCGCTTACTGTTTCACTAGATGTAGATGATTAATCGGCATAATATTTTTTATCGATAACACCAATCGACAAACGTTGTCAATCACTAGCTCATAGCTCATATTTGTTGAATAAATAGTGACGTTACTGGACATCAGAGGGCTGTTATTACAATAATAATAACTGTTCTAGAATAATCTACCAGAAATAATAAAATTAAAAATATATTAGGCAAATATAAATTAATTTTGCGATAGTAAACCGATATCACAGTCAGTTTTTGCTCCATATCGGGACTTACAATACCTTAGTGCACAATCGGGTATATTTTCTAAAAAAATTTTTTTTAAATTTTGTGAACGAGTGTGTCTTTATCTTTTGACGATGTTACTAAGACTAAATAATAGAAATCTGAAATATATCCTATAGGACAAAAGTAACAGATGACCATGTTGTTGCTGATGTCCGGTCTGTTACTACTACTTAAATGTAATTGTTATATATCTAGCAAACAAACTAAACGAACATAAGCAGTAGAAGAAAAATACATAGCCACAATCCTTCGTATATATTGTTCTTGAAAAAAAAAAATGGAAGTTTTGGAGGACGAAACAGGGTAAACGAGATTATGACTTCTTAATTTTTCATAGGTAAAACCAGTCCGAGCTGCAGTTATCTAGCTCGATCTTAACCCACACTGATATAGATTCATGTCGAGGTACTACCCTGACTATCGGCAGGTGGCCGAATTAGTATAATCATCCAGCGAGCTGTAGAACCGACCATCATAGAGTCAATTTGGTTCCAACATCCATCCCGCGCAATCGAGGCTCTACGGACTCGGTTCAAATTCCAATTTTAATATTAAAATCCTTATTTTTAAATATATTATACGTAAAAGTCTATGATATGGTTCACGGACTTAATCTTTTTAAATCTTTATTTAAAAAAATTAAGTCTGTGTTCCGTATAACACATCGTTTGGGCATATCGTGATGGCAATAGATTTTTAAAACCTATGCCCTTACTTATATCCGTTGATAATCGCTAACTTAAGTTTCTCTATAACATAAATTATCTCTACGTCTTTTTTTCTCATTTAATGAAAAGATAGAATGGAACATTTAGACGAAGACTGACTTACGTACTTTACATTTTTTTATAGAATAAGGGTGACAAACGAGAACACAGTCCACCTGATGGTAAATGGTTGCTGTGGCCCATAGACATCTAGATAGATGATCTTCGATTAAGAATCAAAATTCAGATACGTTGTCACCCGTGAGTAGGGTTACCAGATGATAAAATTAAAAGTCCGGAGAAGAGGCCTGATTTCCATTTAAATTTCCTGAGATTTTTACAGTTTGAGAAGAAAACCTTACTTAAAAAGGTATCTTCACATATTAAGTATGATAAAACTGTTTAAGTACCTACTTGGATAAATACGTTTTGATTTTCATCATCATCATCATCATCATCATTACAGCCTTTCATAAGTCCACTGCTGAACATAGGCCTCCCCCAAGGAATGCCCCAAAGCACGGTCCTGAGCCACGTGCATCCATCGACTTCCTGCATGCCTTATCAGGTCGTCACTCCATCTCGTGGGGGGTCGCCCTACACTTCGTCTACCGGTACGAGGCTGCCACTCGAGAACCTTTCTTCCCCATCGGTTGTCAGTTCTTCGAGCTATATGTCCGGCCCACTGCCACTTCAGCTTACTAATCCGTTGGGCTATGTCGGTTACTCTAGTTCTACTGCGGATATCCTCATTTCTAAGTTTATCACGCAGAGAAACTCCGAGCATAGCCCTCTCCATAGCTCGCTGAGCGACCTTGAGCTTCCTCATACGGCCAGCTGTGAAGGACCACGTCTCAGTTCCGTAAGTCATCATACGTAGGTAAGGTAAACATACTCGTCAACAATTTCGAGCTTAGTGCTCCCAACAACTACCGGCATAGGTGTGACATGGACATTAAACATAATCTTTGTTTTGTCCATGTTCATCTTAAGACCTATCCGTTGGGAGACACTATTGAGGTCATTGAGCATAGTGCTTAGGTCCTCCAGCGATTCTGCCATAAGGACTATATCGTCGGCAAATCGAAGGTGAGTGATGTACTCGCCATTGATGTTGATACCGTATCCTTTCCAGTCCAGAAGCTTGATAACGTCTTCCAATGCAGCGGTGAAGAGTTTCGGGGATATGACGTCACCCTGTCTTACACCTCTCTGCAATTGGATAGGTTTCGTACTCTGGTTCTATACTCGGATAGTCATCGTAGCTCTACAGTACAAACACTTCAACACTTCGATAGACCGACAGTCAACTTGGCACCGCTGAAGGGACTGCAGCACCGCCCAAATTTCGACGGAATCAAAGGCTTTCTCATAGTCCACATACGCCAGACATAGTGGCAAATTGTACTCTTCGGACTTCTGTACAATTTGCCGAAGGGTATGTATGTGATCTATGGTGCTAAAGCCCTTTCGGAAACCGGCTTGTTCGGGAGGCTGGAAGTCGTCAAGTCTGCGCGCGAGACGATTCGTAATGACTCTCGAAAACAGCACGTAGACGCGGCTCAGAAGGGAAATCGGTCTGTAGTTCTTCAAGAGAGCGTTGTCACCTTTCTTGAAGAACAAGACCACCGCACTTCTGCTCCACGCCTCCGGTGTAATGCCACCATGGAGGACGGAATTAAAGAGCTTCTGAAGGACTTCAAGTACCGGTCTTCCACCCGCTTTCAGAAGCTCCGCTGTAATTCCATCCTCGCCTGGGGCCTTACCGTTTTTAAGGTGCTGGAGAGCCATTTTAATCTCGCTCAGACTGACGTCCGGGATATCTTCGGAATAGTGTCGGATGAGACTCGCTCTTGGATCGTTACTCACACTTGCGTGTGGCTCCAACGATGACGTGTACAGCTGCTCATAGAACCTCTCAATTTCACTCAAAATCTCAGGTGTCCCGGAAACGATGCTGCCACATTCTGTCTTCAGCTTTGACAGATTGCTCTTTCTGGCAGACAGATCTCTAGCAAAGACTTTGGAGCCTTGGTTCCGCTCGATCGCTTCATCAATACGAGCTGTATTGAAGTTGCGTAAGTCCCGCCGCATGCATTTGGAGATCTGTCTGTTCAGATGCCTGTATGTTGTCAAGTCTGTTGAAGAATGTAGCTTCATCTCCCGTCTAACAGCCATG